GTCGAGCTGCTCATCGCGAAGGAAGCTCGTATCAATCAAGAAGCGACCGTACATACTCGACTCGATGGACGATGTGACTCATTTGGTGTGTGCAGAGTGGAGCCACACCATTGTACATTGCGTCTCAAAAAGGCCATCTCGCCGTGGTCGAGCTGCTCATCGCGAAGGGAGCTCTTATCAATCAAGAAGCGACCGTACGTACTCGACTCGATGGACGACGCGACTCATTTGGGGTGTGCAGAGTGGAGCCACACCATTGTACGTCGCGTCTCGCAATGGTCATCTCGCCGTGGTCGAGCTGCTCATCGCGAAGAGAGCAAGCATCAATCAAACCGACAAAGTACATGCCTATGGCGACAAAGACTTGGTTTGACGAAATGAAATCTTTGTAGGATGGCGAGACTGCGCTGCACGTTGCCTCGCGTTTTGGTCGTTCCAGCACCGTGGCGCATCTCCTTGGCGCTGGTGCGATGGTAAGCCCGCTGACGACACGTAGCTTTTCGCATGATGGCAAAACCATTCCAGTACCGTGATCGCTTCGCCTTGATACCATAAATGTCTCTGATCAGAGCGGCTCGACGCCTCTATCGGTTGCCATCTTGTACGATCACGGTGCCGTTGTTGTCGCTTTCCTTCGTCACCAGCCCAACACCACGCTTCTTGACTCGGTATTTCCATCCATATGCCATAAGCTAACTCTGTATAGTCTGGGATCAGCCTTGCGCACCTTGCTGTGCGCGGTGATATCATACAGCTTCTCAACAAGATCCTGGACCCACCTGGCCCAGCCCTCACTGCACGCAACCAGGTACAAATGATGTGCATTCATCACTGTACCTCATTTGGTGCAGAACAACGAGACGCCATTAATGCTGGCCATCAAGCTGCGCCACCGCATCTTTCCGCAGCGCATCTACCATGCGTTGCATCCCAGCTTCGACAACGTACGACAACCAACCCAGCTCTTCGATATGTACACTCTGTCGTAGGTGCCCGAGGGCGAGATCCAAGTCGATAGTAATCGAGTACTTGGCCAAGGCCACTACGGAATTGTCTACGAAGGCACGTTTCGCGGGCTGCGTGTGGCCGTCAAGAAGGGTCCATCTTCCGCTGCCTTCAGCCTTCAAAATGAGATCAACGCCATGGAGAGGTACGACTCTATACATATTTTTAACATTATATCGATGAATCGAGGTAGATGCAACTCGCCGTATCTGCTTACGCTCATCGCGGTCTCGGGGCGGTATACTAATTATCCCCAGCTCGTGCTCGAGTACATGGACGGCGGCAACCTCCGCGAGTACCTCGACAAGAAGCGAGAGGGTGAGTCGGTCCCGATCGAGTACTCGACGCTGGACGTGGCGTGGGTGCTGGCGAGTGCGCTTGCGGACCTGCACCGGAATGGCTTTGTCCACCGCGATCTCAAGAGCCACAACGTCCTTCTCTCTTCCGAGAGCTACATCAAGGTCGCCGACTTTGGCACGGCAAGAGCGGCTGACCGCAACCTGACGGCAAATACCGGCACACCGGCATGGACTGCGCCCGAGGTCTTTTCATCGACTGCGACGTCCACATACGACTCTGCGGCCGACATTTACTCGTTTGGCGTCGTCTTGATCGAGCTCGTGACGCTCCAAGAGCCGTACGCAGACGTGAATGTGTTCGATGTCCTAGTACGCGTTCGCGACGGTTCGTTGCGTCCGAACGACAACTTGTCCAACTTTGTCGACTGCCCTGCGTGGCTCGTCCAGCTCATTGACGACTGCGTGGCGTTTGATCCCAAGATGCGCCCGGCCGCCAACGCAATCGTTGACCGTCTCGCTTTGCACAGTGCACTTGACCCGACTGCGCCGCACGCTGTGGACCGAATGATGCCGGTACGAACTTTCCGCCACAAAAGTGCTATTGGTTGCATGCCTCTTGTAGCCAATGGCCTAAGCTTGCCAAGACAAGTTGAAGATACGACAAAGCAGTATCGAGCTATCGTTCACGCTCCTGCATTGCGACTAACACAATTTTATAACTAACTATTCATGTACTGCTGCAACAGGTCCCATCCGGGGTGAGCTGGCAGGAACTTTTGTATTGAATGCGAAGCATTGAGTATTGCGACGACGGCGCCATACATAGGGATGGTGGTTTTCAAGGGACGACTGGGAAAGCCCTTGCCTCAACCCTAATAAAATGAATAAAATAGTAAAAGTGATGAAAGCAATTTCTCGATGGTCCTGTTTCGTGCTAACGTTAGTAGCAATTTGGCTCCCGCGCCATACCTCGTAGTGTTGTACTGGGTAGTAGAAGACGAGGTTGACGCCCTCTGCCATGTGCCTGTCGACCATGACGTCAGCGTTAGAGATGTCTGCTCAACGGCCTTGAGAAGACCGTTTCGACCGGGTCCACAACGAGCGCGCACATGCTTCTCTCTGGTGTCACGCAGGACGTGGACGAGGAGACCCACGAGCAGTGTCAAAAGCTTGTTCAATTCCGGCAACCAATACATGTACTAGTAGGCACTTTTTTGTGAGACAAACGTGGTGTGAAAGATTATTATATCTTTCACGCCACGTCAAGGTATATTATACCTTGACGAACGAGTTCAGCGCCATGCTCGCGTCTGTGCCCTTGACGCGACCGCTGTTGGTGGCCACCGAGGGCTAGAATTTTTGTTTGCTGCCAACTCGAGCAGACATACAATCTGAGGCGACGTCGAGCGTCGAGTTGCTCATTTTGAAATGGCTCGCTGCGGATACCCGGATTTTGTCCGGATACGTGGACTCGGTCGTGGTCGATTTTGTTTCAATCGGTATTTGGTCTCACACATCGACCATACTACGCACATCGCGAAGACTCTTGGCTCGAGTGCAATGGCCTTTCTACCGATATCGGCTGCGAGCGACGCCAGCACTTGTAGGTACTACCGCCGACTATGGGAGCGAGAGACAGTACCACGAGCATCTCGTGCGCATGCTGATGCTAACGCCAAAGCACTAGAGCCAAATACAACATGTACACGAGCGGTCATGCTCGGCGCGGCGTCGGAGACAAACACCGGTAGCGATAATTTTGAGCGCTGGCGCGAGGTATGCGGACGATACATAGTCGCAACCCTTGTCTTGCTCGCTCGCTTGCTGCGATTTGTGACATCTCGCGGCAATGAGCTCGGTCATGGATCTTTATTATTGACCCATGGCTCGGTGGTATTCAACTCGAGCGTCTCACGCATGGCGTCCTGCTGCTTGCACACGGCAGCCTCGTTGGATGGTCTTGTGACCACGAGCCGAGCCCTGAGCCTCAAAAGACGGCGCGACGCCACCGAGACCGCTGGTGCGTGGTGGTATTCAAAGCGCTCTCGTCAAAGTGTTGGTGCAAAAGCTGCGCCCGGCGAGGTCCGCTTCGTCATCGTAACGATTGTCATGAACGTAATAGAGCCTAAACAACCCAACAACCAGTACTAGTACCAAAAACCGTTCCCGCCACACACGCAACGCTCATTATAGCGGTGACATGCCCATGGTGAATCGACGGCAAGTGTCACGCAAAGCGGTCCATGTATCCGAGGCATCGCCCCGTGTCCCAAATTTGACTCGACGGCTTTGCTTGCGTTGCCTCCTCAAAGATATAAACACAAACCACAACGACCATTGTATCAAGTTGATACGTTAACGCATTGTCTCATGGGCTCACCGCGAGCGCGTTCACTGCCATGTCGCGCTTGCGCTTCAAGTCGTCGCCGTGATGGGACTTGGCACCGTTGTAGGCGGCCAACAGTGTCGTCTTTTCTCGGACGTAGAGCTCGAGGTAGGCCTGGACCTCGGGGCTAAACTGCGCCGCTAGCGTCATCGTACCAACGGGGTTTGTGTTCAACAAGATGTCGCACTCGACGTGGCGCACCGCCGTGAGGCTGGCGCGCGCAGTGCCCTGCAGTGCGTTTTCGCGGCTCGGGTCGAGATCCAGCAGCTCCATTAGCGGCAGCGTGACCTTGCCGAGCTTGGTCGTACCAAGGCTCAAGAGGCCTGTCGTGACCACCTCGATCGTCACTGTCGTGTCGAGCGGCTTGACGTTTGGGACGTTGAACTGGGAGTTCCACGTGTGGACGCAAACGCCGCCCGTGGCGCGCTTCGTCTCGACCGGCCCCCACGTGGTGTAGTCGTCGATGCTGACGACGCACCACGCATCGAACGAATTGCCAAAGACAGACGGCGAGCGGAGAGCCGTTGCCTTGACGATCTTGAGGGTGAGGTTGACGACGGGGCGGTTGGCGATGGGCCGGTGCGGAGCGACTTCGACGAGCCCGTCGAGGACGTCTTCGAGGCGGCGAACGACGTCGGATGCTCTCGGCCGCTGCTCTGCGTCGTACTGCGTGCATTCAAGGACGAGCGCCTGGTACGCGTTTGACGGGCAAGGACCAAAGTCTTTAGCGAGCGTCGGAAACGCCGAGCTGCGGTCTGCCAGCCACGCCGACACGCGCTTGTCGTAGTCCGCCATGTGCGCGAACGGCTTGTCGTGGGTCACGAGCGTCATGAGCACGAGGCCGAGGCAGTAGATGTCGACCTTGTCCGAGTAGGTGCCGGCGTGCTGGTCCGTTTCCGCAGCGCAGAGCATCTCGGGCGCCCGCCACCGGTCGTGGCCGACGTTCTGCGTCAAGGCGCTGGCGCCGCTGTCGCGCGTGTTGAGACCGACAAAGACCTTGACGAAGTCGTTGTTGTCGACGTAGATGCGCGACCACGAGAGGTCGCGGTGCATCGTCGCCATGTTGTGAATGTGCACGACGGCCTTGGCGACTTGGATGCCGATCATGAGCTTGGACCGCCACGACGCATCGCGCTTCATCACAAGGAACGCGTAGAGGTTCATGCCCGACATGTTTTCGACGAACGCGATGGGGTCGTCCGAGAGCAGATTGCTGCCGCCCACGAGACGCAGCAGCGTGCCGTTGCCGCCGTCAAGCCTAGCACACACCATCGACGTGAGCCGCGACGACGACGAGAATCATGCATGTCGTACGCTCGCATGAGAGCGATCGACTCTTTGAAGCGGCGGACCACAGTGGCATCAGTATTCGACTTCAGCTGGATGCGCAATACGAGCGTGTTGTCTGCGAGATGGCCGGCCGTGATCTTGGCGAACGGAAAGCCGTGCGCGCTTGGGCTCACCGTCGAGTGGAAGCGGAACGTCGCGGCGTCGATCGACCGGACCGAGACGAGCCGCTGGGTCAGAAGCCTCGTCGCGTGCGCGCGCTGCCGTTCCGAGCGTTCGGCCTCGGTCTCGGTCTGGGTGCGCTGCTGCGCCTCCGCTGCGAGCACGACTGCATCCAGCTGCGCCGCGTGGTTGCACTTGAGCTTCTGCATGGCATCGTGGTGGGCCTGCTTCAAAGCCTCGATCTCGCGCTTGAGCACTTCGACCTCGGCCGACGTGCCAGTGCTCTGCGCGGTGCCCATCAAGACAATGGCGGAATGGCGTCCTTCTGCCCACATTCTCACTTCACAATCCTGTGCAAAAGATGTTTCGCAGTAACCGGAAATCGTTGGCATATCCGGAATTCCTTCTGCGCATGCACATTTTGGTGCATTCTCAGTCGCAGCGACAATGTGTAGTCGTATAGTTGTCCCTTCACGTCATCCAAACCGAAAAGCTCAGCGAGAACACCGCCTCACGCTCAACGGCAAGAGTGTCTTATCGATCTTTCGACCACGCCGAAGCACATTACTGAGCTATATACATATTGGCTAGACTGCGACAAGTAATCTTCTGCTGCATCAAACGGAAGCATCGACTACCAGAGCCGAAGAAGGTTTCCCAGGCTACTGGTCCACGTCTATAGTCGCCACGCGATCAAAACAAGGTTAGGATCAAGAAGCTCGTACCACCGTTGTCGTTCGGTCCACGGCGAATGGCGCGTCGTGGTCGACGGCACTGTGCTGCGAAAGACGGTTGAGGATCGCGTTGGCGGTCGGGCGCCGCGTCGGATTGAACGCCACGCAGTCGTCAATGAGCTGGACGAGCCACGCAGGGCAGTCGACAAAGTTGGACAAGTTGTCGTTCGGACGCAACGAGCCGTCGCGAACGCGTACTAGGACATCGATCAAATTCACGTCTGCGTACGGCTCTTGGAGCGTCACGAGCTCGATCAAGACGACGCCAAACGAGTAAATGTCGGCCGCAGAGTCGTATGTGGACGTCGCAGTCGATGAAAAGACCTCGGGCGCAGTCCATGCCAGTGTGCCGGTATTTGCCGTCAGGTTGCGGTCAGCCGCTCTTGCCGTGCCAAAGTCGGCGACCTTGATATAACTCTCGGAAGAGAGAAGGACGTTGTGGCTCTTGAGATCGCGATGGACGTAACCTTTCCAGTGCAGGTCCGCAAGCGCATTCGCCATCACCCACGCCACGTCCAGCGTCGAGTACTCGATCGGGACCGACTCACCCTCTCGCTTCTTGTCGAGGTACTCGCGGAGGTTGCCGCCGTCCATGTACTCGAGCACGAGCTGGGGATAATTAGTATACCGCCCCGAGACCGCGATGAGCGTAAGCAGATACGGCGAGTTGCATCTACCTCGATTCATCGATATAATGTTAAAAATATGTATAGAGTCGTACCTCTCCATGGCGTTGATCTCATTTTGAAGGCTGAAGGCAGCGGAAGATGGACCCTTCTTGACGGCCACACGCAGCCCGCGAAACGTGCCTTCGTAGACAATTCCGTAGTGGCCTTGGCCAAGTACTCGATTACTATCGACTTGGATCTCGCCCTCGGGCACCTACGACAGAGTGTACATATCGAAGAGCTGGGTTGGTTGTCGTACGTTGTCGAAGCTGGGATGCAACGCATGGTAGATGCGCTGCGGAAAGATGCGGTGGCGCAGCTTGATGGCCAGCATTAATGGCGTCTCGTTGTTCTGCACCAAAGACGGTACAGTGATGAATGCACATCATTTGTACCTGGTTGCGTGCAGTGAGGGCTGGGCCACGTGGGTCCAGGAGCGTGTTGAGAAGCTGTATGATATCACCGCGCACAGCGAGGTGCGCAAGGCCGATCCCAGACTATACAGAGTTAGCTTATGGCATATGGATGGAAATACCGAGTCAAGAAGCGTGGTGTTGGGCTGGTGACGAAGGAAAGCGACAACAACGGCACCGTGATCGCACAAGATGGCAACCGATAGAGGCGTCGAGCCGCTCTGATCAGAGACATTTATGGTATCAAGGCGAAGCGATCACGGTACTGGAATGGTTTTGCCATCATGCGAAAAGCTACGTGTCGTCAGCGGGCTTACCATCGCACCAGCGCCAAGGAGATGCGCCACGGTGCTGGAATGACCAAATCGCGAGGCAACGTGCAGCGCAGTTTCGCCAAACTACAAAGATTTCATTTCGTCAAACCAAGTCTTTGTCGCCATAGGCATGTACTTTGTCGGTTTGATTGATGCTTGCTCTCTTCGCGATGAGCAGCTCGACCACGGCGAGATGACCATTGCGAGACGCGACGTACAATGGTGTGGCTCCACTCTGCACACCCCAAATGAGTCGCGTCGTCCATCGAGTCGAGTACGTACGGTCGCTTCTTGATTGACACGAGCTTCCTTCGCGATGAGCAGCTCGACCACGGCGAGATGGCCTT